ATTGTTATACAAAAACCCGTTATCAACAAGGGGCTTTTCTATTTATGAAGCTGATGCCTAGGTGTGGACCTTAGGGTGAATAGGTTCGATTGGGTTTACGCAAAAATTACACATATTTACAATGTGTTTCCTTTTGCAGCCTGCAAATGTGTATGACAGTTGCAACTCTGTTTTTTTGTCTTCGAAATCTCACAAAATCAGAGGCTGACTTTATCTGCAACCAAGCATTTTACCCCTCTTTTTGCTCATTTCACATCCTGTAATGAAACTTATTTTTTTTTTTCAACTTTGTGTAAGCATCAGATTCATAAATAGGGGAGTTCCCTACTGACGGCGGGTTTTGTAGAGCAATTTTCACTCGCATAAGCTCAATTTTTTGCTTTTATCCATAGGTTCAGATTTTTCTTTCCTTGCTTTTATCCATAGGCTCATGTTTGCTTTAATTTACTTTTCTTTGCAGTGCTGTGTTGTCTTTTTTCTTTACTGTTGTCCCCAGTTCTTACTTCGAGTTCCTGGCTTGTATCCTCGTTCCCGTTCTCTACCTTATCCCGAAATCCTGCTTACAAAGCAACATCTGAGTTCCTTCCCATCTCCACTGTAAAAGCAAACAATATTTCACTCTTCTACTCCGGGTATCCGCGTCAGAAACCAGCAGCACACTTCTTTCTCCCTCCCACCCATCATCCTCCCCCGTCTCTTTCCAAATATACATAGCCTAGCCAACCGTCAAATTATCTACGTCACGTAGCTATTCAATCCATTCACCCAACCCCCTCCCCTGCCTTGAATCCATGTGCACGGAACCCGTGTAGATCAACCCCTTCACTCCCACCTTACCTGCGGCATCTGAAGTCCTTGCACCACGGTGTGGTAGAGTGACCCTTCATCGCCAAAAAAATTTTTCACAAATCATGCATGGTGTCGGCCGGGCCGAGTCGAGTTCTAGTAATTTCCAATGCTGATGGTCACTTCAACACCACTTTTATATCTTGGCTTTCTTTTACCTGCTGTTTTTCGTCTCTCAAAGAGAAATGCCAAATGTTTTATACTGCCTCCACGATACATTCATCTTGCTTCAGTTACCGGCTGTTTCTTTTAGGAAACAGTGGCGTCGAAGGATACGATGGATCTAAAGCTGGATATGCTCATACGGGAATGGAAGAGGTCCAGTGATATTTTGTTTGCTGTACACCCAGTTGATGGAAGCCTTTTGACATGGTAATATGCTTTTTTTTTTCCGAATTAGTCAGCTCAGTTTCATTAAATATACTGGAACTGAAAATTTAGTTGGTGTAAATTATATGATTGACATTTAGTGAACATATACGATACATATAATTTACAGACATTTATAATTCAGGCTGGCTACACAAGCTTCCCTCCCTCCTTTTCCTGTTTCTTCCATTCCCTGTCAGATTTGAGCCCCCTGTGTCATTCGTCGGTGCCGCTCAAAATTCAGTGTCACTGTAGTCGAATTGTTGTACACTGGGCGCGCATCGGTTGTTATTTGAAAACCACGAAGTGAAAATAATCAGCGGAGAAGAAAAGAATGAGATAGTTTTTTTGTTAGTTCCTTTCTTAAAAAATTGGTATGGTGCACCCACGCGAGCTGTTTTTATTGCTCGGGAAAATGGCGACGATGACTTATGAGAGACGGGGATAGCGAAAGCTAGGTGGTTTTTTAGTCCAGGCATGGGTCCCTGAGGGCAGTATCATGTACGCTTAAAAACTTTTTCTCAGGACAGTGGAATGGCTGGATGACGTGTTCCGACAGCCCACAGTAAGCTTCACATCGCGCTTTCCATCGGCCTTCTCACTGTCCGACTCCACTTCTTTGCACTCAACGCTGAGTGTCTATTATCATCATGATACACTGCATGCGCAGCTTGGCCAGAAACATTCTGAAGGTATCATCATCATCATCAGCATTTTGTCTCGAACACAGAATTCCTGGATGCATTAA